GGAGATCTTACTTGGTTGGCACTTGCTCTGAGAACAGACCAAATGCACTGTGCCAGCATCGGTGGTATCATTCACATTCGAGGGAAATCCAGCAACCTCTGCCTTGGTTTGCGACTTCCCTCTTCCCCCAATAGAGAACAAATGGAGAAGTGCACATGCTTTGCCAATATGTCCCAATCATGGTGTGTTGCGATTCCAGTGGTGATTCCTTGCTCATTGTGCATCCTGTGGTAAAGGCTGCGCACAAGCCAATGTGTGTGTGCCACAACAAGCAATCCATTCTGCTCCAGGAGATTCCAGCACACTCAAAAATCAAGGCCCAAGCTACTGCACTCAAAGTCCCTACGATGCAAAACCATGCCCAGAGCCATCAGCAGGTCGAACAGACCCACTGCACAAGGGAGAATGCAACATCAGTAACTGTCATGGTCTCAACATCGGGTGCTTCATTGACTCAGCATTCACCTGGACGAGCTCAAAGAACTCCGACTCTGCCTCGGGAAGCTGCCTGCAAGTCAAGGCCTTCAAGAGATACCCAACATCGTACTGTGTGGCAAATCCGATCCAGTGAACCTGCAACACAGCAATCCCGCTAAGTGTTGTGCCCCCATGCCAGCAGTGAATCCCTCATTTCAAGCAGCATGGCAACTTCCTGCAACAGGTGTATTTCTTTCCAGACCACAGCTGGCAGTGAATTGGAACAGAACGGAGAACAGCAACAAAAAACATGATGCGTTTCCATCCAACTGGCCCACCACATTGTCCTCAAAGAGTGTCCCATGGGGCTGCCTTGTGTCATGCCTCCACGATTTGGGGCAATGCCAACAGGCTGTAAGTAACACTGTACATTGTAGTTGCTGTTTTGCACTTCTCAAGAGTCCCCACTTTCTGCACCACAACGAAAAGGCCATAATTTACTCTCAACAACAGTTCTTCAGCCTATGGCAGAAGCTATCAAACATTCAGAAGGATCCTAAGCAGCTACCAAGGTCATTCTGCTACAAATGGGCTGCTTGCCCCTGACAAGGGTGTGCCCTAAGAGCATCTTCATCGGTGGGTGCTATTGTCCCGGCGCAGCTATTCGGCTATCCGAATAGCACCGCACGTCAAAAAACCACCATCTTCTGTTGGGGAGCAATAGCGCCCCCAATAACACCCCTGGAGCTATTCGGCGCCGAGCGGTGCTATTGGCCGCGAATAGCACCGCTCGGGGCCGAATAGCACCCCAGAATAGCTCCGGTGCTATTCGCACAGAACATTGTAGTGCTGCCGTGATGCTATTTGGCGCAGGCATAGCACCCGCCATTGCGGATGCGCGCAGGGGAGCAATAGCACCGGTGCTATTCGGCAAATGGCACCTTAGTAAGGTGGCACAGCAGCCAATGAGAACCGTTCCTGGATAGCTCCGCCGGTGCAATAGCACCGACCGATAAAGATGCTCTAAGTACGTGCCAGGAGCAGCAACCACGACCACAAGCATAGTCATGGTCAACAGGCACCCACCTTTTCGTTCAAAACCAGCCCTGACGTCATTAGGAGTTCTGAGAACACCTGTATGTCCACCCCCATGGTTTCGTTCACACCAAAATCGATGCCTGCCTGCTGGAGAAGGTCGATGCTGTCCAATGCGTACAAGTCACAGTCCATGCTGAACTCCCTGCACAGACAGAGGGGCACATTCACGCAGATTCCTGGTAATGCCTGAACCGCCAATCACCAGCTGACAGTGTCCCGGCCCATTTAACGCTGTTCAACACGTTGGCATTGCATCGAAGGTGCTGAGAGGGTGCCGAGAGGTTGCTTCCAGGGGTACCTGAAATTGAATTGCCAGAAACAGGGCTGGCCGTCCACCTTTGCCAAGTTGCCCTCCCCATCCATTAGGGTGACGCCCAGCTGGATCAGCTTCAGCATGTCCACGTTGCACCTAGGCAAGGCAAGCACCAATGGGGCACTCAGGACCAGGTCTCCAGCAGAGGGACAGCCGATACGGCACCCTTCGTCTGCAGGACTTCGTTTCTGTGACCACGCCTGATGTCCCCCGACAGGTGCAAGCGCACTGCTTTACACACGTAGAGTGACAAACGTAACAACCAGGGTAAGGTAGGTCAGGGACACGACCCCAGAGGGCGATCGCGTCGCACACCGTCCCCATCCAATGTCCATGCGCAGTCTGAAAATTGGACCGGCCCGGAAGCTGCCGGTGGAAAATGACCACAGTCAGCACGGAGCAGTGGCACAGCGCGAGAGACAGTGGCCCAGTCACTGGACAGGAGCACATGCAACGGTTCGCCACACGGGAGTCATTCCCACGCGGCCTCCCGGGTAAGGAACGGCCGAACGGCCACCTGCAGCCGCTTTCCCAACCGGGCGCCACGCACTTGACCGCCTTGTACTCTCCGTCCTCGCTTCGATCCAGCGACCGTACGAGCGTGCCTGGAAACTCTGTGTCGAAGGCCACATAGGGGTAGTCGTCCACCATGTCGGACAGGACCTGCATCTCGTCCTCAAGGTTGTAGTACCAGACGTCCCGGATTTGGGGCTCCCGGTCGAGGGACGCCACATTTAAGGAAGCCATTGATGCGCGCAGCCGCACGAGGCACCCCGCCCAAGTCCGCCCAGGCACTCGAACAGCGGCGGGGGGGGGGGGCACAGGGAACACGCAAGCCTCCCTCCAACACCCTCTGCGGCTCCGCGCCTCGCTGCCACGCGCAGGGCAGGGTCGAAGGTTCCCGCCACCCGTCGAGCGCTCCCCAATTCCCCCGATCAACCACCCGTCACCGGCCCAGAAGATACTCTTGATAGGTCACACTCTCTGGCGGGGCCGCCCACAACACGGCTCAGAGCGCAAGATTCCCTGCCTGTCGGCGACAAACCGGCCTGGAGTCTGGGCTTGGGGTCGTGCGGGTGCCAAACCCACCCGCCTTCGCGCCGACGTTGGGCCAGTCACTATGATGCAGTGCTTGGTTGCACACCAACACCGCGAGTCACCCTAAACACCACCTCGTGGTGCCTTGGGCATCGACCCCTTTGACGCACACGCGCACGCTCCAGTTGATGTCCGACGCACCACCACGTCCCCCCATCTACCATCCTGATCGACGACACTTTTCCGGTACGCACTTGTTGACGGCAGTCCGGCGCCGGTCCTACCAGAGCCTTTTTGGGCCCGGCATTGTGGGGAGCCCACGGATCCGGGCTGGGTGGGTGGTTTCACTTCCGCTCCCCTCTCGCTTCGTCACTGCGTCCGACAGAGTCGCCTTTGAGGCGGGTCGCGCTGGTTCACGGTCACCTTCCCGCGGCTTTCGCAGGCCGCGGGGGCGGCCATGGCACCTAACACCCACGGAGCCTTGACCACCAGACGGGAAGGTCCGCCCTAGCTGCTTGCCATTGGTGGGCGCTGATTGCAAGATTTTGCAACAGATGAGTGTCGTACCCCTGCACTACAGAGTTTGCTCACCCTGTGTGCCAGCCGAGATACGTCAGAGAACGTGACTCGATGATGATATGACATAATCTTGATACATGGATTGAAGGCATAAAATTACTGCATGCACCAAATCGGTGAGGTCTTGCACGAAAACGGTGACTGCTTGCACCAAGTCACGTGCACACTAGGTCCTAACCTCAGCAACCGGCACTTGGACAACTTGACCCCCTTTTTTGTGTTGCTCGCTAGTGCCCACCTTGGTCAACCTCGTAGTGCAGTGGAGGCAACATGGGGTGTGGACACAAGTTGGATGGCAAAAGCTTTTGCCATCCATGCCCTTAAGGGCATGTAGGCGGCAGCGGAGCATGGGACAGTCTCTGGAGCACTTGGAAAGTTGGGCCCACCACAAGCAAGGGTTCTGGGGTTATGACTTTTGGAAAGATCATCGGTTTGGGTGTTCAAATGTGTAGGGTGGGATACACAGGATACGCAAGACGTGTAGGCTGGCCGGCAAAAGTGCATGGATGCCACGGCGGAGTGCCGATGCGCAACGGAGGTGCAGTTAGGGGGCGAGAAGTCTTTCGCAAAAGGTGTTCATTACACCGGAAGCCAAACTATATACTAATCCCTGGGACACACCCCAAGGGATTGGTATAAAAAACCCACGTCTCCAAAACCCGAGGAAAAGCAACTATTGGGCTTTCAAAAAAAATACATTAAACTACTGCCAAAAAATGATGCAAATGCATCAGCACTCCCCCCCATAAGAGAGTGTGTTGGGCACCCCTCGAAGGGTGCCGCCCAGGATGCGTGTACAGGGAGAGAGTCGCGCGGAGACCGTCAACCGGGAAAAGAGAATCTTACAGTGGAAGCGTTACCTCAGCTATAATCGTAGTATCATGATATCAATTAAGTTTAATCAAATGGGAACAACCTAACTCACTAGATTGTATCCCCAAAGCCCGGCCTATCTACCGAACTAAGGCAGCTACATGTCATGACCTAACTAGGAGACACTCAACCAGAATAAGTCATAACATCACTTTCCCTCATAAGAAAGTGGTTGTCTCTAGACACGACAGAATAGGTGAATCCAAGAAAAGATCCCGACCCATACTGTACAACTCCTAGAACAAACGAGAACAAGGTCTTCCGGCACCAACATAGGCTTATATACGACCGGTCTACCAGCGCGGCTGTAAACTATAGAAACTGGCCCCGGATCGGCACGCTGAACGCGATTACCACCTAGAGGTGGCCACTCAAAGGTGCCATCCGGTCCGTTAAATCCGGTTCGTAAATTTTTATCAGCTCTCCGTTAAATTTCGTTAAAGAAAAAGGGAGAAAAATTCAGAAAAAAGAAAAAAATCCAAAAAAATTAAAAAAACCCAAAAAATCACAACAACTGCGGCTAGTTTAAAATCTAGTATGCATAGGTTGAAATAAAATACAAACATACTCTCTAATAGCGAATTCCATAAACTATAAGTATGAATAAAACCCAAAAATCCCCAAAAAATCCAAAAATCCGTTAATTTTTAGTTAATTTTTATCTTTTTTCGTTATTTTCCATTAATTAACGGAAAATTAACGGAAATTAACCTCTGTCCGCTATTAACGGATCCGGGTGGCCACCTCTATTACCACCGCGGCAATCAGAATCCCAACACTAGTCGTACCCATCCCGATAGATCACGTGGCCGGCCCGGTAACTCCCCGGTGACACCATCACTTGTTCCGCTTTCTCCCTCTGGTCTGTGGTCGCGACTTGACCTTCAGCTGGCTCCTTGACTTAGGGTCCGCAATCCGGCGCAAGTAATCCTCTGGGATCTGAGGGGCATTCCGTAGGTGCGATTCAGGCTCCCAGCTAGCCTTAGTGACTGGATATCCTTTCCAGAGCACCTGATAGAGACGCCAGGCTCCACTGCCCTTATGTCTCAGAATCGCCTCTATTCCGTACTTCTCATCTCCATCGACCAATTCCGGTGGAGGTGGCATCTCCGACTGAATGAACTCTGGTGGTCGTACGTATCTCTTCAAATTGGAGACATGAAAGACTGTATGAATCTTCCAGCTCAGGGGAAGACCCAGCTCATACGCCAGCGGAAAAACCACCTTGACAACCCTGAAAGGACCAACCCAGCACCGTCATAACTTGGCCGGCAAATGCTGGCCGATGCGCAAATTGCGTGTTGTCAAGAGAACCTCATCACCAACCTTATAACTCTCATCCCTACGCGACTTATTAGCCTGATACTGTGCTCGGCTTTGCGCATGGGCAAGGTTGGTTTGTGCTTCCTCCAAGGCAGTCTTCATGCGATCCACCATAATTTGTACAGCTTCAATGCGAGTGGTCCCTCTCCTTTGCAAAACTGCCATAGGCACTAAGGGATGGTCCCCTGCATTAAGAAAGAATGGCAAATATCCCGTTGCCACATTTACAGCGTTGTTGGCAGCAAATTCCGCCAAAGGCAACTGTTGACTCCACCCTGTCAGATTCCTCTCTATATATGGCCTCAACAAGTTTTCCAGCGTTTGGATGGTTTGCTCTGACTGGCCATCCGTCTGTGGATGAAACGTTGTACTGAACCGAACATCCATTCCCAGCAGCTCGAATAAACTCCTCCAAAACTTGCTGGTAAAACGGGGATCTCGGCCAGATATAACCACCTCTGGAAGGCCATGCAGTCGGAATACATGGTCTACAAATAATTTGGCATATTCCTGGGCTGTTACTTCCTTAATACATGGGGCAAAGTGGACCATCTTTGTGAATCTGTCCACAAACACTGCAATTGCAGTGTAGCCACCTGACTCTGGCAAATCCGTAACCAGGTCAGTGGTCACTTGAGCCCATCGCCTTGTAGGAATCTCCAAAGGCTACAAGAGACCTGCTTTTGCCTGATTATCTGACTTCATCTCTTGACATGTCGGACATGATCTCACGTAGGAAGTAGAGGTGGCCACACTCGGGTGCCGTCCGGTCCGTTAAGTCCGGGCCGTAAAACTGAGTGTGATATTCGTCCCCTAATATCCGGTCCGCTATTTGCCATACTGCCATCCGCAAAATCTGGCTCTCATTTTTTCTTCACCATTATTTGCCGTTAAATTAACGGATGATGTGTGCGGCGTCCGGTCCATAACAAAATATCCGTTGATTAATAATTTTGGTCCGTTACTACCCATAGGTACTAGCTTTCCAGCCACGGCAAGGTCAAGGCAAAGTTGCCAAGGGGTTTCCATTCTGTAGCAACTCGAATTATGTTGGTTGCATGCTTGATAAATGTGTGTGGGCGTTTTCCAGATCATGTATTCTGCGGTTTGTAATACATGGAGTGATTTGGAGAACTGAACAACACACAAGCCGTGTGTAAAGTTCTAGTGTATGCATGCAATCCTACACCACTTGCTACGGCTGGTACTGCTGCATACCACACTCCCATTGCAAGTCTTCCGGGCCATTGCAGCAAGGGTTCGGCATAGTTGTAATACCAAACGCGGACACACAAACACCCACATCACCTGAGGCAGGTGGCAAAAAGGGTTCACCTCTGAACACAGTTGAGCCACTCAACATACTTGGGAATGGGTGATACATATCACATATAACGATGGGTTGCTGCGGCGGTACTCCATAGTTTCCACGCCAGGGCAGCGAGTGTAAAGCCCATCCACCAATTGCACTATTCGATTGGACACATTTCTCACAGAAATTCTCTTCTATCTATATGATACCCTAGGTTCACCCACCATTCCAACATTGTACGTCGAAGTTCAACAGTTCAACATACATGAAAATGGGCAACGAATAGTACGAGTCGTGATTTGTTATCTTCCATCTCTGCCTATCGCACCCTCGCTGCGGCGGTACTCCAGAAGTTTCCACGCCAGGGCAGCGACTGTAAAGTCTATCCACCAATTGCAGTACTTGTTGGGACGCATTTCTTGAATAAAATTTTCTTCTATCTATATGATACCCAAGGTTCATCCACCACTCAACATAGTGTGTTCAAGGTGTGCACATCAACACAGGACAACGGAATATTACAAGTCATGATATCTATCTTCTATCTCTATGGTAACCGCACCCTTGCTGCGGCGGTACTCCACAGTTTCCACGCCGGGGCAACGAGGGTGGTCACCGGTGG